TGCATCCCTGAGGGTGAAGAAGAAAATGCACAAGGGCTATAAAAACTATTTGAGGGAATAATTGAGGAAACTTCCCTGGTCTTGCTAGAGATTTATATGTCCACCTACAAGAAGCTCAAGGAATACCTGGGAGAGTCATTGCAAAGAGGCAATCACCAAGGCACATAGTCATCAGACTGGATAAAGTCAACATGAAAGAGGAACTGCTGCCAGTTGTGAGGCAAAAACATCAAGTAATTTCCAAAGGAAAACCCATCAGGCTAATTGCAGACTTCTTAATTGAGACATTACAAGCCAGAAGGGATGGGGCCACATCTTCAGTCTTCTTAAACAGAACAACTACCAGCCTAGAATTCTGTATCCTGCAAAACTAAATTTCATATATGAAGGAGAAATAAAGACTTTTCCAGACAAGAAAACACTGATAATTTTGTCAAGACCAGACCAGCCCTGCAGGAAATACTCAGAACCACATTATACATAGATCAGCACAATAGGCACCCACCAGTGTAAACCACCCAAAAGCTAAAGCTAAAGCTCAGAGCACATATAAAATAATAGCACAATAGGTAAAACAAAGCAATAAGGTACTACCCAACAGGATAAACAGAAGAGCATCCCACATAACAATTCTATCAATCAATGTGAACAGTCTGAATGCCTCACTCAAGAGACACAGGCTGACTGGATGGATGAAAAAATACAATCCAAGCATCTGCTGACTTCAGGAAACATATCTAACCCACAGAAATCATACAGACTTAAGGTGAAGAGATGGAAAAAAATATTCCATGCAAATGGAAACCAAAATGAAGTGGATATAGCCATTCTCATATCAGATAAAATTGACTTTAAATCAACAGTAGTAAAGAAAGACAAAGATAGTCCTTGCATAAGGGTGAAGGGAGCAATTGAACAAGAAGACACAACAATCCTAAATATATATGCACCTGACACAGGAACACCCAGATTCATAAAGCAAAACCTATGAGATATAAGCAAAGAGATAGATAACAGCATCATAATTGCTATGGACTTCAACACCCCACTGACACAACAAGAGTGCCCCACTGTCACCACTTCTATTCAACATAGTGTTGTAAGTCCTACCCAGAGCAATCAGACAAGAAAAAGAAATTAAGGGTGCACAAATTGGGAAAGAGGAAGTCAAACTATCACTTTTTGCTGATGATATGATCTTGTATCTAGAAAACCCCAAGGACTCCACCAAGAGACTCCTGGAATTGATAAACAAATTCAGCAAAGTCTCAGGGTACAAAATCAATGTAGGCCAATCAGTAGCATTCCTATACAACAATAACAGTGAAGCTGAGAGTGAAATCGGAGACTCAATACCATTCACAAAAGCTACAAAGAAAATAAAATACCTAGGAATGTTTGTAACCAAGGAGGTAAAAGATCTCTACAAAGGGAACTAGGAAACACTGAGGAAAGAAATTGCGGACAACACAAATGGAGAAACATATTATGCTCATGGATTGGTAGAATCAACATTGTTACAATGTCCATACTACCCAAAGTGATTTACAGATTCAATGCAACCCCTATCAAAATACCAACATCATATTTCACAGACCTAGAAAAAATAATTCTACACTTCGTTTGGAACCAGAAAAGATACTGAATAACCAAAGCAATCTTAAACAAAAAGAACAAATGTGGAGGCATCACATTACCAGACTTCAATCTATACTACAAGGCTTTAGTAACCAAAACAGCATGGTATTGGCACAAAAATAGAGACACAGACAAATGGAAGAGAACAGAGAACCCAGATATAAAACCATCCAGATACAGCCAACTGATCTTTGACAAAGCAGACAACAATATACACTGGGGAAAAGAAGTTGTATTCAATAAATGGTGCTGGAAGAATTGGACAGCCACATGCAAAAGGATGAAACAGGATCCATATCTCTTACCATCCTCAGAATTAATTCAAGATGGATAAAAGACTTAAATGTAAGATGAATTCCAGAAGAAAATGTTGGAAAGGCTCTTCTAGATATTGGCCTAGGCAAAGAATTTATGAATAAGACCCCAATGGCAATCACAGCAACAAGAAAAATAAATAAATTGGACTTGATTAAATTTAAAAAGCTGTTATACAGCTAAGGAAATAATCAACAGAGCAAATGACAACCTACAGAATGGGAGAAAATATTCACCAGCTATACATCCAATAAAGGGCTAGTAACCAGAATCCAGAAAGAACTCAAGTAAATCAGCAAGGAAAAAACAACAATCCCATTAAAAAGTGGAGAAAAGACATGAACAGAAGCTTCTCAAAAGAAGGTAGACAAATGGCCAATAAATATACGAAAAATTGCTCAACATCACTAATCATCAGGGAAATGCAAATTAAAACCATGATGTGATATTACTTTACCCCAGTCAGAATGGCTTTTATTTAAAAGCCCAAAAACAATAGATGCTGGCATGGATGCAGAGAGAAAGGAATGCTTATACACTGTTGGAGGAACTGCAAATTAATACAACCTCTATGGAAAACAGTATAGAGATTCCTCAAAGAACTAAAAGTAGATCTACCATTCGATCCAGCAAGCCCGCTACTGGATATTTAGTCAAAGGTAAAGATGTCATTTTATTAAAAAGACATCTGCACTCAAATTTTTATTGCAGCACAATTCACAATTGCAAAGATGTGGAATCAATCCAAGTGCCCATCAATTCATGAGTGGATTAACACAATGTGGTATATATATAACATGGAATACTACTCAGCCATGTAGAAGGATGAATTAGACCCTTTTGCAACAATTTGGATGGAACTGGAGACCATTACCCTAAGCGAAGTATCTAAAGAATGGAAAAACAAACACCACATGTACTCGCTATTAAATTGGAACTAACCGATGAGCACACATGTGTACAGAAGAAAGTAAAACTCAGTGGAAATCAAGCACCGGGGAGGAGGGGATGAGCAAAAACCTACTTAACAGGAACAATGAACACTATCTGGGTGATGCACACACTTATAACCCTGACTCAAGCATAACAAAATCGATACCTGTAGCCAAAATCATTTGTACCCCCATAATATTTTGAAATAAAAAAGAATTAGCCCATCATCGAAGCTAATAAAAACATTACAAATTTTGACCAGATAATCGTGACATCAAAAAATAGTGGCTATTGGACTTAGAGAGTCTACAGCCATCATTTTTAACCCTGCTAGACTCAATGCTTGTTTGTTTTGTGAATGTATTTTATTGTATTATTATTTTTAGTCAAGAGCTAATTCAAATAAAATAAAATTCACCCCTGTAAAATGTACAATTTAATGCATTTAGTATATTCACAATGTTGTACAACCATCACCCCAAATAGAAACCTGCACCCATTAGGAGTCACTCCCCCTTCCTTCCTGCCCCCAGCCCCTGGCAACCACTAATCTACTTTCTGTCTTATTCAATGCCTATTTTTATAGTACATATTTTTAATGCCCCCTCTAGAATTGTTGTATGGAATTTTGAGACCATATAACCTATCTATTCATATAAATTTTAACTATGTTTAATATGTACATATTATCATTCTGTGCATTCCACTTAGTAAGGTGTGTGCATTCTCCCATGTCACTAGCTATGCCTCTGCAGCGTCACTTTCAATGGCTGGAGGAATTCCATCAAATAGATATTGCATAATGCATCTAACTAATCTGGTGTGGTTGGGATTTACATTTGAATACTGAGTTTTTAAAAATCTGGTAACCAGGTTTAAACATTTGTGTTTTATACTTCAGGAATTGATTTCAAAAAGAATCTGCTAACATTTTATCCTTTTTTTAGCATCTGTATATTTGGAGACTTGCATGAGGATAGAAAGGAGATAGAGGAAAGCTGAAAGTCCCCTCTGTCCCTATGGCTACATCCTGGGTCTAGAGCAATCAGGGGCTAGCCCTTTTTTAGCATAAGGAATTTTGTGGCCCATTTGGTGGCAGTTCCTACAGGACATTTACTCCTTATAGGTACTTCCCAGTGATTTTATTACAAAAGTCCCCTAGTAGCTGTGTTAAAGTCATATGCAAAGTAATATCGATGAAGAACTATGTTTATTTGGCATTGTTTGATGCCAAGCATTACCTTATACACTCACAGCTAGTCTCAGAGCCATAAAACTTTATTTATGGCTTTATGTCACGAAGTATGACATTAGCACCCCAGCCTGACTTGTTTCTGATCTCCAGCACCAAAAATAGAGCCTTTTCTATGACTTTGGCGCAGGACCTAATCACACAGAAATTTGCATTTGTATGAAAGGGGCTGAAACCCAGCTTCTGAATCACCCAGGATTTTATTCTTTTCTTTTCTTTTTACTAGGGAAGCAGAGACTATCCTAATAAATCCTCCTTTCTTTTTCTGGCATACTTAAAAACCCATTTTTGAGCTCCACTGACTCCATTAAGTTTGAACTTTGGTATTAAGTACATAGGGAGGAAAAGAGCAGGTGTGGGGGGGAGAGCAGGAGAACAGTGACAAGACAAGGCCCGGAGGGAGGGACACACCTTGGGGCTACCACAGTGGTTATCTCTTCCCTCAAGAATAACGAGACAAAAGTAGACTAGAAGGCATAAGAACTGAGGTGTGTCAAAGACACACCAGCCTTACATGTGGGCCCACAAAAATCCACAGAGCTCACGTGTTGCTTCCTAGACACGACTTCACACGAAACCCTTTGACTTCAGTTTCTTTTTTGGACTCCTTGATTTAGTTTCTGTTTTAGCATTTGCACAGTAATAATTTTACTACTAAAGGTAAATGTCTTGTAAACTAATGGGAAGCATATTGTTTGGCACAGTTTATAATGTCAGGATTTATGGTTCTAACACTGAGGGTCTCTCTGACCTCGAAGACAACATAATGAAACCGCAATGTGCTGCAAATGACTCGTTGTGATTTTTTATTAGCTCTCATAATCGTCCCTTATTAATTTGTATGCACATAATAAGCACTCACCTTCACAGTCTGTCCAGCTTCGGGGCCATCCTAGAAAAAGGAAAAAACCAACAGAGGTGAGAACAGATAGATGGTATCTCCTGCTTATTCAGAAATATCACCCATTAATAATTTAGATCCAATTTCATTGTGTGTTAATTTATAGAATTCCCATGGGGACCATTCACTTCAAATGTGTGGGACCACGCAGTTCTCCATTTCTGCCCGAAAGTGAGTGAGAAGTGATGTATAAAAATGCTATAAATTATCCAATAAGCCAACCCCCTTGCTACTTTTCATGCTCTTTGCTCTTGGCTATGGTTTTAATTGCATTAAAAGAAGGCTGAAAATGTTTGAGGAGGTAAAGAATCACACCTTTCGGTTATGTTTAAATCAGACATGGTTTAATTAATATCTGATAATTTTAAGTCTCTACTGAGGAAATTTGCTATAAACATGCTTTGTTATGCAAGAATATGGGGTGTCTCACGTGGGAAGAGTCCTCTTGGGCTATTCTGACCTTCTGGGAGAAAAATGGAAATGTTCATCGTAGCTGGGCCCTTTCTCACCCTGGTTCCCTCTCTCTGCTTCTGAAGCACAACAAAACTATTGACTTAGCTGAAAATGAGCTAACTCACCTAGTCACAGCCATAATACAAAGCAAAAGCAGGTGCTCAGCGGGTTTGAGATGGCAAAACAAGCAACATCTCTACAATCAGAAATTCCAGGCCGGGCGCGGTGGCTCACGCCTGTAATCCTAGCACTCTGGGAGGCCGAGGCGGGCGGGTTGTTTGAGCTCAAGAGTTCGAAACCAGCCTGAGCAAGAGCGAGACCCTGTCTCTACTAAAAATAGAAAGAAATTAATCGGACAACTAAAAATATATAGAAAAAATTAGCCGGGCATGGTGGCACATGCCTGTAGTCCCAGCTACTCAGGAGGCTGAGGCAGTAGGATCGCTTGAGCCCAGGAGTTTGCAGTTGCGGTGAGCTAGGCTGACGCCACGGTACTCTAGCCCAGGCAACGCAGTGAGACTCTGTCTCAAAAAAAAAAAAAAAAAAAAAGAAATTCCAAAGTGGAATTCAAACTCTGCAACTTTGGCCTGGTCTATCTACTTCTCTGAGCCTGACTAATGGGGTAAGAATTACTGCCATGCTGTGGAAAGGATTAATCTTAGAGTCACAACCCATTAGTGGGGCCCAAAGTCAACTTAATGGATTGCAACCAGCATTAAAAACAAAAGAAACCAGATCATAATAGAATCTAAAACTATCAGAATGCACAGAATTGGTGAACATTGTTTTGTAAAACTCTGCTTTCCTTTATCTATATAGGTGTATGTATGTGTGTGTATTGGGAGGGTGATATATATGACTGTGAAATAAATATTTATCTTATTGTGAGTTATAGTAAAAAAAAGTTTGACAATATATGAAAGTACTCTAAGTGCTATTCACAAGTCAATTCTTATATTTATGGATTTACTTTCCAGTGAATCATGTTAGATAACTAGCACTGGTCATTCCCTATAAACGTGGATTTTCTTCTTGTATTTCATAACACTGACACTTGCCTTCATTTGGTCTCTCTGGAAGCACAGATTGCAAAATAAGCTTGATAAACCCACTCTGAGCTAAACTACCTGTCTGAAGGTGACTCAAATGGTTTGACATACAACACACACACACACACACACACACACACACACACACAAACACACACACACACGCACACGGTATTTGGGGTGGTGAAGTTTAGATACTCTCAACACAAACGTGGCAACAAAAGAATTATTTGTTGAGAAGCAAATGAGCATTTTTAACCAGAGCCTTTGTAAACTGAAAGCATTGGCTTTATCTGGTCCTTTTGAAAGTCTACGGTGGGGAGCTAAGAAGGGAGGGAAGACGGTAAGCATCAGTTTAACTAATGGGCCGAGCACCAAGTCCCCACATTTTGAAACAATCAATTTCTTTCTCAAAAGCAATTGCAGAGTCATCAAATTTCAAAGCCACAAAGGGCTTTATTTATGTATTAATACCCGCAGCCCTTTCCATAGGTAAGCTGAAAGGGCTTGTGATTTTTACTACCATTTTACAAAATTCCCAGCTGACAACTCACCATGGATCTCCTTCTCCCAGTCTGAAATGTGTAGGGCTGGCTCACCCCCTGCTTAAGGAGCTCCAGTGACTGGGGATCTGATTTCTTTACTGGCCAGCAGACCACACCCAACCAATCAATCTACCTTCTAAACAATCCGTGATCAATCAATGCAACTTGAATTAAAGGTATAGAAAAGCTGAGCCCTATGAGGACAAGGCCCAGCCTAAATTGCATATAACTGTTCCCCTGGAATTATAGCAGGACTTAGCCCATGAAGTGCTCAAAAATATTTTATCATGGAATGAAAATGACTTGTCCAGCCCCAGTTCCCATAAAAGATCTGAAATATCTTAATGTTCATGAAATCTTATCCATTACTCCCACCTGCTCTGTAAATAAGCTTCAGAAGAATTGCCTTAGATGATAATCCACAGTCCATCTTGGACCAAGGCACAGTAGGGCAGCCATGGAGTAGTGACACTTTTTACAGCTATTATATGAAATATGAACAACAACAGTTGCCTTCCCAGTCAGAAGGAGAGAGCTCCATGCTAGCATTTGAAAGGAAAAAATGTCATCTCTGAGCAATCTGTACACTCACCTGCATGGAGAAGGAGAGGAAGGTCCCCTGGAAATACTTCTCCACCGCTATCCCCACTCTCTGTGTTGCCGGAAACAAATCAGCTACTTCATCAGGACACAGGTCGCAAAAACGCTCCACTGACCACAGCGGGCACACAAGGACATCTACAGAAAGATCTGTTAAGGCACACTCTGCTTACTTTGGGTACTATTCTAACCGAGCAGTTTGTACCCCCAGTATTGAATCCCCTTGGACCCAGGCCTGACCTCTCAAAGATTAAGGAATGAAGAAACAAATATTTACCAAGCACTGAACTCCAAGGAGTTCAAAGAAAGATTACAAACATAGTTAATTACAATTTGAAGGGGAAGCTGTTGTGTGCAGCAGAATCTCTTTTAAGAGAAAGAGACATTGGTGTACAGAGGGACTCAGGGCTTGCAGAGATAATGATGCCAGGAGGCAAGCCCTGTTCTGGACCATTATTTCCTGACCCCTGTTCTAAAGCTCTGTCCCCTCCAGTGGCCAAAAGCACTAGGCTGGAGAAGCAACTGGGACATCCAGTTGGTTTGTCTAGGTAGAGCATCATGATTAAAATTTTAATTTAAAAGTCTCTTTAGAGAAATAAGAGAAATGTGTAATGAATATACAATAGCAGATGTTTATTTTATTTTTAAAAAGAGTGCAGACATTCTGAAAATGTACAATGAA